CGTGGGTTGTCTTTTCCTTTTGTCATGGTTTCCTACACCTTGCAGAAGCTTTTTAGTCTGCCTAGTCCCATTTGTTTATTTTTTTCTTTTGTTTCCCTTGCCTGAGTAGACATGATATTCAAAAGGATACTACTAAAACTTTTCTTTTTAAGGCTGAATAATATTCCATTGTATGTATATACCATGATTTATTTATCCATTTATCAGTCAATGGACACTGGGTTTGCTTCCACCCTGTGACTATCATGAATAATGCTGCTCTGAACCATGGGTGTACAAATTACTGTTCGAGTCCTTGCTTCATTTATTTTGAGAGTATACCCAGAAGTGGAATTACTAGGTTATATTATAATTCTATTTTTAATTGTTTGAGGAAACACCACATTGATTCAATAGCAGCCACACATTTATGTTCCTGCCAACAGTGCACAAGGGTGCCAATTTCTCCAAATCATTGCAAACACTTTTTAACTTTTTTATATAGCAGCCATCTTAATGCATATCACTTGGTATCTCACTGTGGTTTTGATTTGCATTTCCTTAATGATTAGTGATGGTGAGTATGTTTCCAGGTGCTTATTGGCGATTTGTATATCTTCTCTGGAGAAAGTCTGTGCAAGTCTTTTCCCCATTTTTAATCATGTTTTTTGTTGTTGTTTTTTATTTTTGAGTTGTGGGAGTTCATTATGTTTTCAGGATATTAATCCATTATCATCTTATTTTCAAGTGGTTGAATTTTTCACTCTTTTAATTTTGTGGTGTAATTACTTAACCTTATTTAAGGAATGATTACTTTCCAAGATCATAGGAATATTTTCCTATATTCTTTTCAAAACATTTCATTATTTTATCTTTTACATTTAAAGCTTTGGTACTTTGGAATGATTTTTGGGTATGCTCAAATATATAAATATAATATAAAATCAAATTTTATTTTTTCTGCTATGGATACAATAATTTCAGAACTGTTTCCTGAATGGTACCATCCTTTCTCTGCAATGTCACATTTTCATAAAAAAAAAGTGTCCAACGCCTCCTCTGTCCTAAAAAATCTTCATACAGATGACGGTTTTATTGGTACTATTTTTCTATCTGTTACAGAACCATACCATTTTAGTTACTACTGCTCCACAATACATCTTGTAAGGCAAATGCTCCACTTTGATCTTATTTGCCATCAAGTCAAATATTCTTTCTCCACTGCTCTTTCTTATAAATTTCAAAATCAGCTTCTCAAATACAATAAAATCCCAGGATTTATCTTATATCTATAAAACTATTTGAGGAAAATTGACATCTCTATAATATTGTGTATATCTATCCAAAACTAGAGCAGCACCTGCGTTTTTTAAGTCTTCTTTACTGTCCTTCAGTAAAATATCATAGATTTTTCCATTATGTTTTCAAATATTTTATTAGAATTTTTTCCAAGTATTTATCCGATGATCTGGTTAAAGGTATCTTTTACAAATCACACATTCTAAATAAATTTTTCTTTGTAAAGACATGCAATTGAGGGGCCGGCCCTGTGGCTTGGTGGTGAAGTGCGCGCGCTGCGATGCTGGCGGCCCGGGTTCGGATCCCGGTTGCGCATCGAGGCACCACTTCTCTGTCCATCCTGAGGCTGAGTCCCACATACAGCAACTAGAAGGGTGTGCAGCTATGACATACAACTATCTACTGGGGCTTTGGGGGCAAAAAATAAAATAAATAAAATCTTAAAAAAAGACATGCAATTGATATTTGCACAGGATTTTGATTTCAGCAAATTTGCTACATTCTGTTGTTCTCTCCAATAAATTGTCCATAGATTCTCTAGAATTCTCTATATAGATGTTAATTTCACCTACTAATTGTGACAGGTGTATTTCTTCTCAATGACTCAAATCTACACTATGTTGTTTGAAAGAAATAGTGTCATTTAGCATCTGTTATATTCTTCTTGATTTTAAAGACAATATTTTGAATATTTGACCATTTAGTATTTCATTTACTGTAGATTATGTCTGAAATACTCCTTTTTGAGTTACGGTGGTTTCTTCTGTTCTTACTCCACTATTTTTATTATCATGGAAGGATGCTGCATTTATTTAAATGCTTTTTCTCCATCTATTGAAAATGATGACATATTTTACTCCTACTCTTTAAATGTGTTAAATCATATTCAAGTTCTAATACACACATTTATTTATTCATTCATTCATTCAATGAAGATTAATTGAAGGCACACTATTATCAAGCCCTGTTGTAGATTTTATGATGAAACTATATAGACAGAAATCCTTGTGACAAGATTTTAAAAACTCCACAACACATGGGCTACCCTGCATCTGCCTTTTTCAGTAAGCCTTTGTATAATCAGCCTGACACTACCTGGCTGATCTCTTCTTTACTATTCCTTCCATCATTCATTTCATATCAACCGTGCTGGCCTCCTGATGTTCTATATATTCATTATGGTGATTCTCTGTCACATGATTATTTTTCTTCCTATTTATAATTTGATTTGCAGATTCCATTTGGATGGAAAGGATTTTTCTTTTCTCTCTTTTCACCTATAAGTTCGCTTTTCCTTCTCTAGCAGGTTTATATGTGCCCTTACCAATCTAGTCCTAAATTTAGTTTCCTGACTCCTGCTGCTTGGATATATTGTGAATATCACAAATCCAGTCACCATGCCAGCGGGTAACTTGGTTCAGTTCTTCTATGGGGCTCTTCTGAAACTTTCATCTGTTCCAAGTTCACACTCATAGGCTCATGCAGTGTCCACAACTCTTGTATTCACCCACATTTCTCAAATGCTGAAGCTCCATTTTTGTCTTTGACTTTAAGCACCTAATCTCTTGCAGGACATTTACCTTCCAGGATGCTCATTACCTGGAAAGAATGACTTCTTCCTTATGGAAATAAATCCATAGAAGCCTTGGCTTTAGTCCGCTCACCGTTTATGTTTGAGTTATTTTTGAAGTACGTGGAAAGCTTTCTATTGTTTTATGAGACTAGTTATATCTTTTTCTATCTTTTCTATTTTAACATGTTGAAGCGAATGGGTGACATTCAAATGTCATCTTGTCGCATGTTGGTTTCAAATACTATATCAAGAACCTTATTAATTAAAAAGCAAAGTTCATGTAGAAAAAGTTGATACATGGTAAAATAAACTGATAAATGCATGAACATATTAAATTCTTTAATGATGAAAAGTTTGTGATTAAATATTAAATATAAACCTGGATTAAACATTAAATCTTCACCTATTAAGTTATGGTTGAAATCGCACTCATTCTACTGAAAATGTGCAGGAACCAGCATACTATTGCTTCGGCAGTGACATTGTAATTTCTCATAACTCTATTAAAAATCAAGTGCCATAATTTCTTTTTTTTTTCTTTTGGTGAGGAAGATCAGCCCTGTGCTAACATCTGCCAATCCTCCTCTTTTTTTGCTAAGGAAGACTGGCCCTGGGCTAACATCGGTGCCATCTTCCTGCACTTTATATGGGACACTACCACAGCATGGCTTGCCAAGCAGTGCGTCGGTGTGCGCCCGGTATCCGAACCAGCTAACCCCTGGCCGCCGCAGCAGAGCACACGCACTTAACCCCTTGCGCCACCGGGCCGGCCCCTCAAGTGTCATCATTTCAACCCACCATCGCCTAATATGAAGGAAAAATGTACAGTGAAACTATTGTGATGAAATTGAAAACGATATTTATAAAATTATGGAGTCCGTCTATATTGATCACAGTCAGAATAGTTTACAGATCATAGATTAGAATCTGCAGTATAAAATATACAGAATGAAGATTAAGGTTCAGGAAACAGTGACTATTAAAAAGAATCATCACTGATATTACTGCATGTATTAGCAGTTCATTCCTTTTTACTGCTGAGTTGTAATTCTATTATATGTAATAAGTGTGTATATTTATGATCAGGGTGAAGAAGAGCTATTTTTATTTGGGAAAAAAACTTTGTCAAGTTTAACACTTTAGGGCCGGCCCTGTGGCTTGGTGGTTAAGTGCGCGCGCTGCAATGCTGGTGGCCCGGGTTCGGATCCCGGGTGTGCATCGAGGCACCACTTCTCCGTCCATCCTGAGGCCGAGTCCCACATACAGCAACTAGAAGGATGTACAGCTATGACATACAACTATCTACTGGGGCTTTGGGGGGAAAAAATAAAATAAATAAAAATCTTAAAAAAAAAAAAAAAGTTTAACACTTTAGTAAAGGCTCAGCTATTTGCAAATAAAGTTCTGAACAGAAAAGATTTATACGTACCCATCAACTAGTCATTGTCCACCTAGCCAAAAATTATCTTTTGTTATTACCATAAATGTAAAAAATTAAATACAGTATCACTTAATAAACTAATCTGAAATTAAAAAAAAAAGAATCATCACTGAGTGTTTGCATTTTACGACAGCTTAGCTCTGTTTATAAATATATTTTTATACCAAAATATATAAACTATATATTCACACTTACAGTTAGAATTCAATTCCCTGATATCATTAATTAGATAGAGGTCCCATTGATTGTACCCCAAAACGAAGGCTGGTATCCATTTAGAGAAGGATGGTGTGTCTATGTGTGCAAGGTATGAGAAATGAGGTGAGAAGAAACAGGTGGAGTGAGCTGGATGGCAAACACCTGGCCTTGCAGAATCAGGGAATTAGCCATCTTGAATTTTTACCTTCTCTAGTCTTGGTCTTTAAGGATTTACACTGTCCTGGGATCCAAAAAACAATAAAAGTGTTTGTCTAATGAGGAGCTTTGGATATTGAACCACCAGGGATACGGAGACTGCAAAGAGTCTGGGAGTCTCCGCCTCACTCAACAGCCCTGCCTAGTCAGGAAGCAACATGTGAGCCACATCCTGGAGACGATCCCTCTTGCCTAGAAGCCTGGGGATTCACTCATTCCCTCTGCCCTTCTCAGAGACAGATCTTCTCTCTCCATAGTTGAATATCCAGGGAAGATGTCAAGTATCGTCCCACAATGATGCCAGTCAGGTAACCTAAAGTCCCTTAGACAATGCTTTGGGCAGGAAGGGAGGTGTTTTGACATTTTCATTCCTGCATGGCTGTGAAGGGAATCCATTCCTAAGACAATCGATACTAAGTCCTCCATGCGATTCCTGCCTGTATGTCATCATCTTGACATGTTCTTTTGTGCCTTTGCAACAATACTCACACAACTCTCATTCTGCTTGTCTTCTACTCTCTCTATGTAATGGGATGAACCATCCAGCATTTGAGATTAAATCCTCCCCTTCACAAACATGATGACTGTTATAAAATTCTCTGACATTTACTTGCATCTTTGTGGTGGTGGAGTGGAGAGATGTTAGTTAGCTTCACCTTATCTTCCCATACATCTTTGTACAGAAAGGCTTTTGTGTTATCTTTGTTGCCTGGCTGTGAGGACTCTGGGGAAGGAAGCGTAGACCTAGACATTCAGAGAAGACTACTCTCTTTGTCCACTTGTTCATCTTTATAAAACTACTGAGTATTTTAAATTATAAGAACAGCATAGATATAGTAATAATAATTTTAAAATAAGACTATCCACCTCTTTCCAGAATTAACAAATATTGGCATTCTGCTATAGCAGCTTCAGGCCTTTTTTTTAATAAAGTAACAAAATAGTGTATGTACCAAAGCCTCCTCACCTTCATTCCCCTCATTCCCTACATAGAGATAACAACAGTGTGATGGTTTCAAACCACAGGCATGGTTTCATATTGTGTATATATCTATAAATACATATATATATGTTTTTATGTATGCATCCATGTGTGTACATACACATACATGTTAAACATAATAATATATCTCTGCTAGAAAATGTAGAAATACATCGAGATATAACAATATAGTGGAACACTCTATGGTACTTAAAATAAATGGAGCAAAACTGAATGCATGAACATTAATAAAAATATATTGTGTGAAAACCAACTATAAAATGACATGCAGAGTTTGATTATGCTTCTATATGCCTTTTTAAAAAGAAAGAGCAATGCAATTGCTTTTGGAAGAATAATATCAAATTTAAAAAAATAGTGTGTATCAAGTTAGTGTAGAGGTTCCCTCAGGTAAGGAAAGATTCAAAATTATACAAATACCTGATGTGGGGAGCTTCAAACATACCTATTATTTATTGCAATGAAAATATCTAAAAAAGGATGGTGAAGAGTGTGAATTTGATAATGTCAATGGGTGAGTGACCAGTCATCCATTATTATTCTCTACACTTTTTGTGCTTCAACAATCCATAATAAATATAAACACCAATGTAGGTTTAAAAATATTTAAGCACTTCTCATGTTGTAGACTTTATATCAAACAATTTTTTCTCTTGTAGGTTTTCATTGCTTGTATTGATTCATATATCTATTTTGTTTTATTATTTCATGTATTTCAATTGCTTTATGTCCATGCCAAATGAATATAGATATCACTGATATTGTCTTCCTTTCCCCTGTACATAACCAAGATTCCCAGAGGGAAATTCAGCACGTAAACCTACCCCTGAAATTTGCAATTATTTCTCAAGGAGAACTCTCGTTCCTTCCTCTTTCCTCAACTTGCCCCACCAAAATCCATTCCCTCTTAGAGGAAAAACATGATAGGTACCATTGTTCACGGCAGAAAAATAAATCGCAACAGAAAACATCATGTAGATTCCTCAAGAAATTAAGAATAGGGTATCATACAATCCAGCTATTCCACTGTTGGGTATTTATCCAAAGAACATGAAAACATGAATGTGTAAAGATACATGCACGCCTGTGTTCATTGCAGCATTATTCACAATAGCCAAGACTTGGAAGCAACCTAGGTGCCCATCAAGGGACAAATGGATGAAAAAGTATATATATATATATATATACACACACACACACACACACACACACACACAATGGAATTCTACTCAGCCATAAAAAATGATGAAATCTGGCCATTTGTGACAATATGGATGGACCTTGAGGGTATTATGCTAAGCAAAATAAGTAGAGGGAGCAAGTAAAATACTGTATGACCTCACTCATAAGTAGAAGATAAAAACAACAACAATCACCAGACAGAGATTGGATTGGCGGTTACCAGAGGGGATGGGGGGAGGGAGGAGGGAGAAAGAGGTGATTAGGCACATGTGTATGGTTACGGATTATAATTAGTCTTTGGGTGGTGAACATGATGTAATCTATACAGAAATTGAAATATAATCTTGTATATCTGAAATTTATATAATTTTATAAACTCATGTTACCACAATAAAAAAAAAAGAAAAGAAAACATGACTATGAGGTTCCTAAATGCTGAGCAATGTGCTGGCTGTTTTAAGCCCATCCATTTCTCATCATTGCAACAAGCCCACAAAGTTTTAGGGTAGTTCCCAATATACAAACAAGAATACTGGGCTTCCCGTATAGTTAAAGAGTTTCCCCATTCACAAAGCAAGTGCTGGAGACTGGATTAAATTCAGAGTGTCTGAAGCTAAGTATTAACCAAATGATTGATCCTCTGATAGCCACTTCTGTATCCCTCAGAAGAGGGAGGACCACGACTTGCAAAGGGACACACCTGTTAGGATGCCCGGTGCAAGTGTTATCTCACAGGCATCTGTCTTCTGAGGAACAACAAATTCTTATTTTATCTGTCTTTTTAGGATCCAATGCATTTCATCCTTTCTCCCATTCAGCTGGGATTTTTGTTTGTTTCTTTGATTTTGATCATCTGTCACTTATGACAATGGGGGAAGAACATCCCTAAAGATGAGACAGATTTTGTAATTTTATTCTTATATTTCTGATTGCTTGAAGATGTGGAATAACTCTGAAGGAATAAAGCCATATCTTCTTTATTTCATTCTCAGGACTTGCCCAATGTGTTAGACAATAATTGCTCAATAAAACTGGGGTTGATTACATGAGTAGAAAGAAGAGGAGGAGGAGAGAGAAGAAGGATATAGGGAGAAATAAGCAGAGGGAAAAATTTGAATATTCACTTGGGTTCACAATATAGATGAGCGTTTTTCTAGAACAACAGTTCTCAAACATAAGTGTATGTCAGAATTATCCAGAGAGCTTGTTAAAACAGACTGTTGGTCATTACTTCTGGAGCTTTTATCATCAGCAAGTCTGGACTGGGGACCCAGAATTGGCATTTCTAACAGATTCACAGGTACTGCTGCTGCTGGTCCAGGGACCATTCATTTTATTTTCTTGTAACCCATATTTTCCATCGGATTCATCAACAATAGAAACCGAACAGATATTTCAGAATTCCTTCTCTTGGGATTGACAGATGATCCAGAACTGCAGCCTCTCCTCTTCTGCCTTTTCCTGTCCATGTACGTTGTCACCATCCTGGGAAACCTGCTGATAATCCTGGCTGTCCTTTCTGACTCCCATCTTCATACCCCCATGTACTTCTTTCTTTACAATCTGTCTCTTACTGACATATGTTTAAGCACAGCCACAATTCCAAAGATGCTGTTGGACATTCAAGCAAAGAATCAGGGCATCAGTTACGTAGGTTGCCTCAGCCAGCTCTGCTTTGTCTTGATTTTTGTAGTTTTGGAAAATTGCCTCCTTGTAGCAATGGCCTTTGACCGCTATGTGGCCATTTGTCACCCCCTGATGTACAAAATCATCATGAACCCCCGCCTCTGTGGACTGTTGATTCTACTCTCCTTGAGCATTAGTATTGGGGATGCCCTGCTCCACACTCTGATGGCTTTGCAGCTGTCCTTCTGCACAGACTTGGAAATCCCCCACTTCTTCTGTGAACTTGCTCAGGTCGTCAAGCTTGCCTGTTCTGATTCCTTTATAAATACCCTCCTGGCTAATTTTATGGCTAGTGTATTGAGTGGTATTTCTCTCTCTGTGATCATTTTCTCTTATATTCAAATCATCTCTTCTCTTTTGCAAATGACAACAGTTGGCAGAAAATATAAAGCCTTTTCCACCTGTGGATCTCATCTCTTAGTTGTGACTTTATTCTATGGTACAGGATTAGGGGTGTACATTAGTTCTGCAGTTATCGTCTCTTCCAGGAGGACTGCAGTGGCTTCAGTGATGTACACTGTGGTTCCTCAAATGTTGAACCCCTTCATCTACAGCCTGAGGAACAGGGACATGAAGGGAGCCTTGAGAAAAATAATCAGTAGGATAACTTTTCTTTAATGATTTTGTCATCATATTTGGGTCAGGTTTCTAGAATGAGTCAAGGTTAAAGGTGTTCTGTGTTTCAGAATACCTAACTCTTTTATCAGCAAGATCTTTATTATAGCTAGATAACAGGATGGCTAAGTACAATTAAACTTGGGCTCGAATTCTGATTCTGCTCTGTATCTAAATCTGGGATGTTTGACAAATGATTTCAACTGTCTAAACTCAGTTTTTTGGCATCGTGTTCCATAGGAAGAGAACCTGAGCCCTGGGATCATGATATAGTGATTTTGGGAGATGGTATTCTCAGAACAATGTGGGAGAAGGGGGATTGGGTGATGAAAAGATTTATGCAAGACCATGGTTATAGGTAGAGACTAGTTTCCACATTATCTAATTGTTAAGACCATATGAATTTTACCCAAGCCTTACGCCTCCTGTGAGGCAGGGGAGCTGACATTTCTCACCCCAACACAGTTATTACTGAGAATTGTCTTTATTAGAGTTTATCTCTCTGGAGTGATAACAGAATCCACCATACATAGGCCGTACGCTCTTCGACATTTGTCTTAGCAACATATTTTCAAGCACCATGTCTGACCGGGCAAGAGAAACAATAGAAAAAATAAACAAATGGGACTACATCAAACAAAAAACTTTCTACACCGCAAAGGAAACCATCAACAAAATGAAAAGACAATCTAACAATTGGGAGAAGATATTTGCAAACCATATATCTGATAAGGGGTTAATATCCAAAATATATAAAGAATTCATGCATCTCAACAACAAAAAAACTAACAACCCAATTAAAAAATGGGCAAAAGACTTGAACAGACATTTCTCCAAAGAAGATATACAGATGGCCAACAGGCACATGAAAAGATGTTCAACATCATTAACTATCATGGAAATGCAAATCAAAACTACAATGAGATATCACCTCACGTTCGTCAGAATGGCTAAAATTAAGAAGACAGGAAAAAACAAGTGTTGGAAAGGATGTGGAGAGAAGGGAACTCTCATACACTGCTGGTGGGAATGCAAACTGGTGCAGCCACTATGGAAAAAAGTATGGAGATTTCTCAAAAAATTAAGGATAGAACTACCATATGATCCAGCTATTCCACTGCTGGGTATTTATCCAAAGAACATGAAAACATGAAGGTGTAAAAATACATGCATCCCTATGATCATTGCAGCATTATTCACAAAAGCCAAGACTTGGAAGCAGCCTAAGTGCCCACCAAGGGACAAATGGATAAAGAAGATGTGGTATATATACACAATGGAATATTACTCAGCCATAAGAAATGATGAAATCCAGCCATTTGCGCCAACATGGATGGACCTTGAGGGTATTATGCTAAGCAAAGTAAGTCAGAGGGAGAAGGTCAAATACCGTATGATCTCACTCATAAGTAAAAGATAAAAACAACAACAAACAAAGACGTAGAGACAGAGACTGGATTGGTGGTTACCAGAGGGAAAGGGAGAAGGGAGGAGGCCTAAAGGGATGATTAGGCACATATGTGTGATGATATATTGTAATTAGTCTTTGTGGGGTGAACATGATGTAATCTATGCAGAAACAGAAGTATAATGATGTATACCTGAAATTTATACAATGTTATAAACCAATGTTACCACAATACAAAAAAATAATAAAATAAAAAAAGAATCTACCATACATAGTTTCATAAAATTGGCGTCTATAAAAGTGGCATAATTCAATTATCTTAGTGGTTTGAGATTATTTTGATATGTGAAATTGAGGCTGAAGAAGTTGTAGTTTATAATAACAAAATAAAACCCTGCCTCTTATATTCTCAAACAGGAAAGAGTTATCTTTCATTCCAGGGACTTCAGAGGTAGGGAATGTAAGAGTCTAAGAGGGTAGGGATGCATTCTGTCCTCCTTGAGGTGGCTTCATCCTCATTATGAGACTGAGAGTCTTTCACATATTATGGACCATGTACTTTTCTTCTTCTGTGAAATATCTGTTTGTGGTATTTCTATTGAGCCACTTATTTTTTCTTATTTGTTTGTAAGAGTTGTTTGTTTAATTGAGATAATAATCTTTTGTTAGTTATATGCAATGAAAATTTCTTCGATATACTTATGGTTTGTTTTGTAAATTATTTGTAATATTTTTTGGATGAACACATGCTTAGTTTGAATATAGTTGAATTTGTCAGTATTTTCTTTAGTGGTTCATTCTCAATAGGTGTTGTTTCTGTAACCCATACTTAACTCAAAATAAAGGATTTGTGGTTTTGGCTTGTATGTTTGAGGCATGAACCCACTTGGAGTTTAATTTATACTTTGATGTGAGATAAGAAGCCAAATTCATTTTATGTCCCTGTACCTTTTTATCTCTTTATCCAATCATTGTAATCCAACTTCTGCAAAAAATAAACTGTCCGTTTATGTCTTGCTTTTTCTTTGGACTCTCCCTTCTAATCAACAAGTTTATTGTATCTATCCTTGTCTTAATAATTGTGTCATAACAGTCAGCTAAAAGAAAATTATTATTATTATAACAAACAAGCCCCAAATCTTATAGTTACATCCTCAAAGTCACATTGAATCACAGGTTGACTGCTGCAACAATATTGATAACCAAGAACCATAATTTCAACCCATGGTCCATAATGTGAAAAATATGTATATTGAAGCTATTAATATTGAATTCAGAAAAGTTGGTAGTGAAATTCCATAAAGAGAACAAATGCCTGTTACATTTGAGAATGCAGAATATACTAGAAACTGCTAAGTATGCACAAGCAGACTCAACATTCAATGAGCTATACATAGAATTCATCCTTACTGTTTGCATTTTTAGGGTACATTCCCTATATTATCGCATGTATTCATCCAAGTAATGTATCTATCCGTATAAGGAAACTATATTTTTCAGTTTAAATGTAGTATCAATCTTCCTGATCTTGTTGTTAGGACATGGTTGTATTTAAATATAATTTTTGAAAAGACTAGGATCTAATAACAGAAGGAAGATGTGTTTGGCTATGTAGGTGACTTGAAAAGGGTGTTAGCCAAGAAAGATGTAGGGAAGAAGATGACATACATTTGATCTCTCAGAGTGAATCTGCCAAAGCAAAGTTCTTCTCTGAGCCTTGCTCCTCAAGGATTTCTGCTGCCCTGTGATCACATGAGAGTAAGAAAGTTTGACTCTTGAAAAGCTTTAGATATTGAAGCCCCAGGGACACAGAGACTGCAAATAGTTTGCCTGTGACCACCATACACAACAGCCATGCCCAGGTCAGTATGCAACCCACCTGAGCCTAGTCCCAGGGACCATCACTTCTTCACAGGAGCGCAATGCTGCACTATCTTTCTGTGCTCCCTGAGTTCAGAGCTTCCATTGTTCTCCTTCACATCCAGAGAAGAATAGAATGTCATTCCTTAGTATTGGCATCCAGGCAATCTGAAGTCCTCTACTACATGTTTTGCAAATAGGGACAGATCTTTGTTTACCAGTCCATCTAGGGGCAGTTATAGGAGAGTCCATGCAGAAGATGAGCAGAAATAGTTTACCATTGATGCACCTGCCTAATGGTTCATCATCTTCTCCTGAACTTGTTTGTTTGTATCTTTGTACCAATACTTGGGCATCTCTCATTTTAATAATCTCCTATGCTGATCCTAAAGTCCAGGGACTTTTTCCAGCCTCAAGAGCCATCTACTCTTGCTCAATTTTGGAAAAAAAAATCCTTAGAATTCTCTAACATTTTCTTTAATTTCTTTGGCAAGGAGTAGAGGTGTGAGACCAGCTTCTCCTTTCCTTTCCATTCTGGCTCATGATTCCCCTTTCTAGAAAAGATCTCTGGTTTTGACACTGTTTCCTGGTTACGAGTATTCTGAGAGAGAGAAGAGGCAAAGAATAATGCATATCCCAAAACTGAACCCCAGTCTATCTGTCTCTCTTTAGTGATCTATGAAGTATTTGAAAAGTTAAAAAAAAACATAGAACAATAGATCAGGTGCACATGTATCCATGCTTCCAGATTTAGTACATGTTAATATTTTCTATCAGAGTTCTTTTCTTAGAGTAAGAAAATAACATGAATAAATATAGCATATACTTTCTGCTCCCCTCCATTCCCAGAGGCAACCACAGTCTTAAATTTGGTTTTGCTCCATGTGCTGTTTAAAATTGTTTACACATTACATGTGAGTGTGTGTGTGTAAAGGCAGTAATGAAAATGCCCTTGAGTTGGAGAAGGATAAATAAATTTTGATGTAATAAAACATTAGAATAAAGTAAGATAACATTAATTAACCAGAGAAAAATGTACCAAGACATTAAGCATATCAGTTTTAAAAACTAAATGCAGGGCCAGCACCGGTGGCCTACTGGTTAAGTTCAGTGTGCTCCACTTCGGCGACACGGGTTTGGTTCCCAGGAGTGGACCTCCACTGCTCTGTTATCAGCCATGCTGTGCTGGAGGCCCACACACTAAAACATAGAGGAAGATTGGCATGGATGTTAGCTAAGGATGAATCTTCCTTAGAAAAAACAGAAAACTAAATTCAAAATGCCATGTACTTGGGCCGGCTCTGTGGCTTAGCGGTTAAGTGCGCATGCTCTGATGCTGGCGGCCTGGGTTCGGATCCCGGGAGCGCCCGGAGGCACCACTTCTCCGTCCAACGCGAGGCCGAGTCTCGCGTACAGCAACTAGAAGGATGTGAACCTATGACATACAACTATCTACTGGGGCTTTGGGGGGAAAAAGCTGAATAAATAAAATCTTAAAAAAAAACAACAACAACAAAATGCCATGTACAATATGTAAAGTTTAAAATGCAGAACAAGGGCCGGCCCCGTGGCTTGGTGGTTAAGTGCATGCGCTCCGATGCTGGCGGCCCGGGTTTGGATCCCGGGTGCGCACCGAGGCACCACTTCTCCGTTCATCCTGGGGCCGAGTCCCACATACAGCAACTGGAAGGATGTGCAGCTATGACATACAACTATCTACTGGGGCTTTGGGGGG